ATAAATCAGAGTTAATGCTATTTCATACTACATGCGACCTGAGCAGGACAAGATCCTCGGGCACATGCACTATTTGCTGTTCAATCAATACATATTTGGAAATTTACCTAATAATGGTAAATGGTTTATCCAAATTGAAGGATGGTCAAGTCCGAGTTGTAAGGATAATACCACTATAAGTCATGTTATTCAACTATCAAATTACAATAGAAATATTTCTAATTTATGCCATAAGGTGTGGTCCTCGTTATTACACTATTTGTGACATCATTTTATTAGATAGCTGATCCATTAGGTTGTAAAATATTGGATGTTTTCTTCTCTTTTGATTTCTTCATATGAACTATTACTTTTTAAAAAAAAATGCATAATCTTCATTATATTAAATCAGGTATTTTCAGATAAAAACTTGACGTTGCTGAATCAGAATATAGTTTCAATAGTTTTGTTACAAATATACTATGCTCAAATTGGATATTAGAAAATATAAGTAATTGCTACACATCGTCTTTGTATAAAAATTAACATGTTTTGACAGCACACAAAGTAGAAAAGTTGTATTTAAAAATCAACACACTTTAGATGGTCACAATATGAATATAAAGTGTCAGTAAAAAACTTGCATTTTTTTCAAGAAAATATCAACATTACTTGACCTGTAACAGGGAACGCAGCTTCTCACACTTAGTTTATAAATTCTTTTATACGAATTAGACATATTCAGTTAAATTTCATGAATTTCAATAAATTTCTGTGATAAAAATATTTCACTCAAGGATGAGCATAGTAGTATGACTTTTGAATTAAAGTTAAAACGGTATTTATGCTTGTATGTTTTTTATAATTTCTTATATTTTCGAAATTCAAAATGCTAATATTATTTCTCATTTACTTGAAAAATGGTCTTGGCGGTATACCTGGTAACCATTTGTGTGCATTGCTATTATATTTTGTGGGGAGAGGGGTGGTTTTGGGGTCTGTGATACGTGTCCCTAATTGATTTTTAATTATATTTCTTAACAAGTTTATTTCAAGGGAGCAACTGTCGCCGCGTACGTACAGTTTATGAAAATAACTTGCAAACTTGCTGTCCAATCGAAAGGATATGAAGAAGCAAGCGAATGCTGAAGAAATTGAGATGAAGAACATCCCCTTGTGGTGTTGATTTAAGATTTGGAGAAACAGTAATGCAGTGTATGGTGCTTAAATTGGCCTTAAATTATTGTAGGATTTCAGCTCTAAATTGTTGTAGGTTTCAATTGTTACATTATATTCTGTCATATGTTTTCGCGACAAAACAATGAAAAACAAGACCTTCAAATACAGATGTAAAAGTTTGAAATATATCATTGTTTGTTGAGAGATACATTTGTATATGTTGAATGTGAAATACATGCATCTCAGGTATGCGATTTTAAAATATGAAAAACAAGATCAACAACGAAGGACGGTATTCAATGAACTCATCATCACAGTTTCGATTGCGACGCGGTCATTTTTAGTGTGACATAATTAATGTTGGTTTGAAATCAATAAAATGAGATTGGTTATAAAAATTTAAAAAAGGTTTACTGCAGTAAAATTTTGTTATCAGTTTCCATTGGTTAAAAAGTCAGTCATGAATCGTCTTTGATATACGTACATAAATATAAGCAAACGCTATTGGTTTAAATACCATGTTAATGAAACTACGTATTATTTCGTACCTCGGAGGCATGTAAAAGTAATTATTTAGTATATACATATGTATGTATCTTTAGAAATATCTGTATATATAAGCCTTTGTAATAAAGAGATTATTAAAAGATAAAATAAATATTAAACTCATTGTTAAGAGTGTCGATTTCGAGAAGAAGGAACATGGATATTTTCGGAAGATTAATTCCTTCTTGTAAGTATTTATCTACATAAGTTCATCATCTGAATGTCATTACTTCCATTGTATGATTACATGTAAAAATTGAAAATGAAAAAGTGATAAAATGCTACCATTATAGTTACAAGAGGTCTTATGGGTGTTATATGTTTTTGGTATTTCAGGATCATTGTTTTTCTAGTACTTTTAATTTCATAGAGTGAATACAGCTTAAACCGGTGCTAGGGTGCTTGAGATATGTTACAATTTCCATCATTTCTCAATAACAAGGTTTATCAGATTAAGTGTGCGGTTTCTAATTATTTTCTTTTTTCATTGCTTTGGAGAGGAGAGTCATCGTCTTATTATAAGAAACGTGTATGGTCATGTATTGTTAAAGGCACAGTATGCCTTTTTACTTCTTTAGAAAGAAAAGACATGAATTTTATAATGATATAACAATGATTTTAAAGAATGTTATATGCTTATTACTTGAAAAAAGTAGTGATATATATGTAAAATGATAATATGCATAAAAATAGCAAAATGTAAACAAGGTAGCATTTTGACTTCCATACAAAAAGTTTCACTACAATTGTACTAATAAACTGTACATTAAAATGTTTTTTTAAGAGAGCAGTGAAAAGAAAGCAAAAAGTTGACAACTGCAGACTCGGTTTAGTTGAATCTGCTTTGAGAAGCAATGAAATGATGACGCAATTCATTCTCACGTCCAGTAGATTGGCTAAAGCGATGTTCAGTCATCAACATAAATGTATTGGAATTAAAAATCTAAGAAGGACAAATGAAATTTAGCAATACTGAAACAAAGTACGGAACAACTTTTTACAGTTGACACAAAAAGCATTTGATACTTATTGTTGTTTGCAATAAGCGAATTCGACATATGCAGACTATGATTTATTGAGTCTGTTAGTTATAAGTCATATATCAGTCACATATCAAAAAAGAAAAAAAAAAACAATGGATTTCTTAACAAACACCCAAAGCGACAAAATTTAGAAATGTTATAGTCTCGGTTGATTGTGCCTGTTCATGGACGTTTATGGTAGGTGCCAGCTACACCATAACCCTTGCACCGGCTTTAGCCGAAATCAACATAAAACACGAAAGTTGTGATTTTTGTAATGAAGAAACAACCGCATGTGTGTCCGCACGGCTGTGATCATTGTACCTCCAATGAAACTAATGAGAATCGGTATTTAAAACATGTATTTAATTCCGCCCATTGAATTTTCGATCAAGACAGTACTTGGGACCATACACCGCTTAAAGATTTTGCATTGTTTATGGGATACTTGAAAAGTTAATATGATGTTCCAATGCGAAAATAGAAATACTGTTTTTATTGGTTGGATTTCAAGTCACGTCGGCACTGTTAAGGTCATATGACGACTTTCTAGTTTTACTGTTGTGGAAAGACCCCCATTGTCCCATTATAAATTATTTTAGGGAAGCGCAAGCACCTATGCAGAAGTATTCACCTTCCGTAAACTAGCTTCATAGATAAATCTCATGAAATAATCCAAAGTTCCTTATGAAATTCGAACCCGCATCATTAAGGGACAAGTGTTTTGAAATAATGGATTAATATAATAAGGATTTTCATCAAATGAATTGCTTAAATTTCCATTGGTTGACACGCTCTTTATTTAAGCTTGTATAGTCATTCTAAGAAATATCACCTAAGCGCAACGCTTGCATCCTTGGGTATTGAATAATATATGTTCTAATCACCAAAATGGCAGACACCATTTTTGAGCTCCAAAATATTACTAAGTCTATAAATAATATTTTTATTATACATGAATATCGCAATAACTTCTGAATACATTTTTATAGACAAACGTTAGTGGGGGTCAGTTTTCAGCGTCGAAGACGAAATATGGAAATAACGCTAAATATTTTACAACTGATCCAGCAACAAAAATATGTTTTATGACTCCGCAAAAACTGAAGACCACACATAACGTCACTAATGAGACATACTGACGTTTCATGACGCGGGATTTCATTAAAGTTTATAAATTCTTATATAAGAAAACCATTATGACATTTTAATGAACTTTCGACAACCAGTGTGGTGCCACGAAATATTCCAACAATTTTTAGAGAAAAGTAAATAAGTTACTACAAATTGACCAGTAATAAACAATAAACGCAAGTTGTTTGTTTATCGGTTTTATCAATGTAGAAGTTAATTATTTTCATAAATAAGCCGGCGGATAACTTACATGTACATCATACGCTTTATCTTTGATCAAAATCGAAAAATTCAATTTCATTAAAGGTACAATGTACGTTGTCTTTCTTGAGGCAAAATTTCAACTACAATTAATGTACTTTCAATGAAAATATTCCGAAGAACAAAGATTTGTTTACTTATTATTAGATATTTGACAACATTTTTTTTTATAAAGAATACGAATTTCGGATAGTTGAATGTTTATTTTCAGTGTTCTAAAAATGAATACCAATTTCGGATATAAACAAGGTTTGATATATAAAAGCAATGCAAGACCGAAAAACTTTTTTTAACATTTTAGATTTGCCAATTTGATGTCACTAATGATATAGTAAGATAGATATCAAATGCTATTCTAAATTATATGATGTTTCTTTAGTACGTGTTTCTCGTGTAAACAGATGCTAGATTATATAGCTGATATTACATGGAAGTGGCAGAATACAAAATCGCCTTCCAGGTCACATCAAAAGATATACATCTGCATAACATATCTCATTACCAAAACAAAAGTATTGGCGAAATACTGTCAGCTATCGAATATGTTATTGATCCATAAGATAACGTACCAAATTTTTTTTTAAGTTTAATGTCACTCACTCACTCACTCACCAACTCACACACTCACTCACACACTCACTCACTCACTCACTCACTCACAAACAAACAAACAAACAATAATCATTCACGCATTCAATGAATCAATCACTAGCTTATTTGTGCAATCAATCACTTCATTTATCACCTGAGGATGTGCTAACTCGATCACTCTGTCATTGATTGATTGATTCATTGAATAATTATTTGATTGATTGATTGATTCATTTATTGATGGATTGATTAATTGATATTTTTCTTTTATTTCTATTTCAGCTACAAAATTCATTATACTTTATATCATCTGTATCAACTTATGTATTGACGCCACAAAATTTTCTACAGTGATAATAAAGAGAAATGGGAAACGGGTATGTTCCGGATCATATAAAAACCCGGAAATAATCGTGACGGCAGCTAGCTGTGTTTCGGAAGGGTACGTGAATATTTTAAATTTTACAGTGCAGGATTTATGACTTTTTGTAAAAGAGTGGGAAAAAGAAGAGGGGTCGATATATATTTTCTCTTTTTTTTAAAAAATGAGCAAAATGAATGGCTTGATTATATATAATTTTTGTTTACGTTTGGGGAAATTTCACATGACACCAATAATATAAAACAAAAACTTTTCTGATGCATAATTAGCCTTTAAAAAGTGTTATTACAAAACGTATGTGAGAAGTTAGCAGTGAACAGTGAGCTAAGCAAAAAGGCATTTCAATTTATATAGGGAAGGTAATGATCTGCTGAAATGCTCAGCTGTTTTGGGCATCTAGCAGGGCATTCCTAAATATAGTGTAAAAATGCTCTACTGCAATACTCAGCTGTCTTGGCAATCTAGCAGAGCATTCCTAGCTTTAGTGAAAAAATGCTCTGCTGGAACGCTCAGCTGGCTAGGCAATCTAGCAGAGCATAACTAAATATATTAAACAAATGCTTTTCTGGAATGCTAAGCTGGCTAGGCAATCTAGCAGGACATTACTAAATATAGTGTACAAATGCTATTCTGGAATGCTAAGCTGGCTAGGCAATCTAGCAGGGCATTACTAAATATAGTGTTAAAATGCTCTGCTGGAATGCTAAGCTGGCTAGGCAATCTAGCAGAGCATTACTAAATATAGTGTAAAATGCTCTGCTGGAATGCTAAGCTGGGTAGGCAATCTAGCAGGACATTACTAAATACAGTGTAAAAATGCTCTAATGGAATGCTAAGCTGGCTAAGCAATCTAGCAGAGCATTACTTAATATATTGAACAAATGCTTTTCTGGAATGCTAAGCTGGCTAGGCAATCTAGCAGGGCATTACTAGATATAGTGTAAAAATGCTCTGCTGGCATGCTAAGCTGGCTATGCAATCTAGCAGGGCATTCCTAAATATAGTGTAAAAATGCTCTGGTGGAATGCTAAGCTGCTAGGCAATCTAGCAGAGCATTACGAAATATAGTGTAAAAATGCTCTGCTGGAATGCTAAGCTGGCTAGGCAATCTAGCAGAGCATTACTAAATAAAGTGTTAAAATGCTCTGCAGGAATGCTCAGCTGGCTAGGCACTATAGCAGAGCATTCCTTAATATAGTGAAAAAATGCTCTGGTGGAATGCTCAGCTGGCTAGTCAATCTAGCAGGGCATTACTGAATATGGTGTAAAAATGCTCTGGGTGAATGCTAAGCTGGCTAGGTAATCTAGCAGGGCATTCCGAAATATAATGTAAAAATGCTCTGATGGAATGCTGACTTGGCAGACTGATTCTGAGTTCCAGGATTTATTGTTGCCAAAGTTTTATTGACATTTTCGACTTCTAGGCAATTCTGAGGCACTCGCAGACTTTAAGGAATTTTCGGTGCAAATAGAAATAATGGTATTTTTGACTTCTAAGGACCTTTAAGAGACTATTTCATTGTCCCGCGACTTTTTGAAGGAATCTCGCAGACTTTCAGGAATTTTGGTGCCAATGCTGATATTGACAATTAAGACTTCTAGGGACCCTCAAGAGTCCATTTTGGTCGTCTGCGATTGATTCTTGGACACTCGAAGACTTTCAGGAATGGTTGGTGCCAATGGAAATATTCATATTTTTGACTTCTAGGGACCTTTAAGAGTCCATTTCATTGGCCTGCTGCGTATTGTTGGACACTCGCAGACTTTCAGGAAAGTTTGGTGCCAATAAAGATGATGGCAATTTTTACTTCTAGGGACCCGCCAGAGTCCATTTTTATGGTCTGCAACTGAATCTGAGACACTTGCAGACTTTCAGGAATTTTGATGCCAATGGAGATAATGACATTTCTGACTTTTAGGGAACCGCCAGAGTACATTTCTTGGGTCTGCGAAAAAGACTCTGGATGGTCAAAAATGTCATAAATTGTAATTATCTCTATTGGCACCAACAATTTCTGAAAGTCTGTGACTGTCCAAGATTAAGTCGCAGACCAAAAAAATGGACCCTAGATGGTCCTAAGAAGTAAAAAATGTCATTATCTGCCTTGACATCAAAAATTCCTGAAAGTTTGTGAGTGCCTCAGATTCAGTCGCAGACCAAAAAATGGATTCAGAAAGGTCATTTTCTGCATTGACACCAAAATTCCTGAAAGTCTGCGAGTGACTCAGAATCAGTCGCAGACCAACGAAATAGACTCAGGAGGGTCCTTTTGAAGTAAAAATGTCATTATCTCCAGTGGCACCGAACATTTCTGAAAGTCTGCGAGTGTTCCAGAAACATTTGCAGACCAACGAAATGGACTCTGGGTGGTCCTATAAATTCACAAATGTTATTATCTGCATTAACACCAAAATTCCTGAAAGCCTGCGATCGTCCAAGAATCAGTCGGAGACCAAAGAAATAGACACTTGAGGGTCCCGTTGAAGTCAAAAATGTCATTATCTGCATTGGCACTAAATATTTCAGAAAGTCTACGGGTGCCAAATAATCAGTTGCAGACCAACGAAATTTATACTTTATTTAAGAATGCCCTGCTAGTTTGCCTAGACAGCTCAGCATTCCGGCAGAACATTTTTACACTAATTTTCAGAATGCTTTGCCTAGCCAGCTGAACATTTTTAACACTATATTTAGGAATGCCCTGCTAGATTGCTTAGCTAGCTTAGCATACCAGTAGAGCATTTTTCGCCCTATATTTTGGAACGCTCTGCTAGATTGCTTAGCCAGCTGAGCTTGCCAGAAGAGCATTTTTACACTATATTTAGGAATGCTCTGCTGGATTGCCTAGCCAACTGAGCATTTTAACACTATATTTAGGAATGCCCTTCTAGATTGACTAGCCAGCTGAGCAATTCAGCAGAGCATTTACACTATATTTTGGAATGTCCCGCTAGATTGCTTAGCCAGCTGAGCATGACAGCTAAGCATTTTTACACTATATTTAGGAATGCCCTGCTAGATTGCCTAGCCAGCTGAGCCTACGAGCAGATCATGTTTACACTATATTTTGGAATGTCCCGCTAGATTGCTTACCAAGCTGAGCATAACAGCAGAGCATTTTTACACTATATTTTGAAATGTCCCGATAGATTGCTTAGCCTGCTGAACATAACAGCAGAGCATTTTTATACTATATTTTTGAATACCCCGCTAGATTGCTTAGCCAGCTGAGCATAACAGCAGAACATTTTTACACTATATTTTGGAATGCCCCGCTAGATTGCTTAGCCAGCTGAGCATAACAGCAGAGTATTTTTACACTATATTTTGGAATGCCCCGCTAGATTGCTTAGCCAGCTGAGCATAACAGCAGAACATTTTTATACTATATTTTGGAATGCCCCGCTAGATTGCTTAGCCAGCTGAGCATAATAACAGAGCATTTTTACACTATATTTTGGAATGCCCCGCTAGATTGCTTAGCCAGCTGAGCATAACAGCAGAGCATTTTTACACTATATTTTGGAATTCCCCGCTAGATTGTTTAGCCAGCTGAGCATAACAGCAGAGCTTTTTACACTATATTTTGGAATGCCCCGCTAGATTGCTTAGCCAGCTGAGTATAACAGCAGAGTTTTTTACACTATATTTAGGAATGCCCTGCTAGATTGCCTAGCCAGCTGAGCATACCAGCAGAGCATTTTTACGCTATATTTTGGACCGCCCCGCTAGATTGCCTAGTCAGCTGAGCATACCAGCAGAGCATTTTTACACTATATTTAGTAATGGCCTGCTAGATTGCTTACCCAGCTGAGCATAACAGCAGATCATTGATTTCCCTATATAAATCGTAATGCCTTTTTGCTTAGCTCACTGTTAACTGCTAACTTCTCACATACTTACAAAACATACTTAAACATTTGTGACTGAAAAACATGAAACAATACGTAATTTGATAACAATGTCATTATATAATGCTGATATATTTTAACCCAGAAATGAAAAAATATATAAAATGTAATTTTAACTATTTTAAATTTTATGACGCTTGTTTTGCACGTGTTTTCCTATATTACAGGGAAGTGGCAGAATACAAAATTGCCTTTGAAGACATATCTAAAGAACCAATAAGTGTTAAATCTATAGTTACGGTATGTCGATAAAATTTTTAAAATAAAAAAAGTATTTTTTTTTAGGTTTTATTATAATACTCCTCAAAAATAGCCATTACCGTTGTGACACATTGCAATTTCTATCAATATCCTTGGTAAGTTTAGCGGTTATGTTCAAGTGCTAAAAGATTGGAGAAGCCCTTTTTAAGCAGTTTTAATTTTTATTCGATACGCTTATCACTTTCAATTATTGATAGCTTTACATTATAAAGGTCAATCTTTCAAAAAGTATATAGTTAAATTTCAGCTCAACTGGGTTCCTTGCCGATTGTGAATTGTTTGGGGATGTGTTCATCATTCCTTGTTGATCTTTTCTTTTTCATTTTTGACGATACAAGAACAAACAAAAACAAGCATAATGGCACTATATGATATGTTTATTGTTTACATGACTTCAGCATGCCAAGAATAAAGGTAAAGTAAATGACATAGCGATGCTGTATTTGGCAGAAACAGTAACACGAAACGGTAAAACAAAAAAGATCAAAGGTCGATTCTCAACTAGATTGTTTGATTTGAAAGTACAACAGGACATGTATCCAGATTGTGTGATAATCGATCCTATCAAATTAAAAGGTACGAATAAATGATATTTTGTACATCAGTACGAACAAATTCTTCTTCTACAGACCACAAAACATGAATGCACCGTATGTATATAACGAGACAAAAAAAGTTTTACGTTATACCCTTTTTGTCAAGTGTATGTTTTATTTTGTTTCGATAAAACGAATTCACATTTTGTTTAAACGAAATCATAAAATATTTCGTTCGAATGAAATAATTGTCCGTTTAAACGAAATGAAATTCACTTGACAACAAAAGATTAACGGAATTTACGCCTATTTACGCCTGTTTTATTACAATGTTTGGCCATATCTCGGCGTTTGATCCACCTAACAGGCTTTCCCGGATAACTAACAAGTAATTTATTACATCTCCCCAAGTGCAAGTGACTGACTACTTATCCAACATGGTTTCTAAATCATTCTATCATAAGACTTAAAATCCGAGATCAGTTGTCATGGAGAATTTACCCCTCGCCCTAAACTAGCGTCCCATGGCTCTTACAAAATAGACAGACAATTACTATATAATATGATATAAATTCAATGTAAGCAATATAATTATATGCCTTAGAAAGATATATGTTTTTTGCAGATACTGCTATTCATCTTCTACCTACCTCTGATTGCTCTCGATACAATTCTGGAAAGACGAGAAAGGAACAAATATGCTTCGTAAGAAAGGCGGGAAATAAAAACAAGTGCCCGGTAATTATGTTTTTCTCTATTTTTCTACGTCCGTCCAATGCGTAGTGCATGTAGCATTGAAGTGTTTCCTTTATCAAAGCAAAAGGTGGTGGTAGTTTTCACTCCGGATCACGGCAGTAAGCCACATTGAATTCACCAGAGCACAGTTCAGCCACCGCATCGTTCCTGTGCAGGCTGTTAAGCAGTTTGTCAGTGATAGTTACATTCACTTTCGCAAGGAACTGATAGCGACAGAGCAGAGGTACAGTGCGAATGACCGTAAAATATAATCAAAACAATTAACAGGAAAAATGAAAACAAAGATTAACTAGGCTATGCGACGTTCACAGAACACAGCCGCGTCAGAACTGAACCACAAAGAAAATGGTGATGTCATAAGGAGGACAAGGACATGAGAGATCTGTTTCCTTTTCCGTTATGAACAGACTAAATAAAACCGCGACTGCAATTTTCAAAAGTTTGTTTGCTGTTGTTTTTTTTTAATTGCGCCACAGGGATATCACTTTTCCAGAATTTTTAACAATGTAGGTATCGCTCAAATATTTATTTACACAAACAATACAATATTATTTACAGACAGGACAGGGTAATCCCATCGTATGCACTTTAAATGGCGGGGCGAGCGTTCAGATCGGTATACACATAGATAACAGCGGCTGTTCCAATAATGTTATGGCGGCGACACGATTGTCAAGATTTCGTTCCTGGCTGCGTAAACCATCAAAAGAGAACGCCATTATCAGAAAACTTAAGACCGGTGAAAATGGCGGAACAGGTAATATACCTATGGCATAATTGTGGTAATGACGAAAAATGGAAAACTGCTAGAATTAAACTACATTTGTTTACTAACATTTTTATTGCAAAGTGTTATCAGCAAACAATATGAAAGAACGAAGAATTTTAAAACAATAATATAAAACATAACACTTGCTTTAAAAAAATTTTCCTCCATGGAAGTGGTTGGTTTGAACGTTATTTTATTTATCTTATTTATATAATCTTATTTTGTTTTTTTTTATCTTCTAAACTTGATATACACGTACATGTATATACAAATTTTCATTAAAATATTCAATTGTAGCAATATTGTATTGTATTAATTTTGTAAATAGTCAAAATTTAAAATTGCTGAAGAGTCGAAATAATCACACGTAAATAAATAAATAAATAAATAAATAAATAAGGAGGACAAACCAAACAAATGGATGTTTTGTTTATCAAAGCCACAATATGTGATAAGTCTCCTTCGATCTTTTTAAACGTCACCTTTCGTTTTTGTCCATCCAATAAAACGAAAACAATGGCAAGTTTATAAGAGATTCGCCTCATAAATTCACATTGCACACAAGTTCTAAAAAAATCTGGAACAGACTGACGGATGGACATGTCAACATTTGTGGTCTATGTTTTGTATCTTTATATGTGGCATTTTCCCACATACATGCATAAACAAGTTAAATAACAACATAAACGGGTCATTTTTTGTGGGGTTCTTTTTTTTAACCATAAGAACTAGCAAATGAACGAGTGAATAGGTCTTTTTTAATATATTATCAAGAAAAAGCTGCCGATGGGCCATAAATCTCTTAATAAAAGTACATATATAATGTTTAAATGTTTAAAAATTTTGTATAATTTTATTTGAAGGGATATATTTAATTGTAAAATTATTTAATTTCGAATTCTAAATGTATTTGGACAGATGGGAATAAAACAACTAACGGAACAACCATTGAAAGCGGTAATCTAACAAAGAACGGAAGTATTAATGGAACAACTGAGGGTGGAAATGGAACAATCCATGGTGGTAATGGAACGACCGATGGCGGCAATGGAACAATCGACGGTGGTAATGGAACGACCGATGGCGGTAATGGAACAATCGACGGTGGTAATAATGGAACTACAACGGGTAACTATATAATTATATGATGACATTTGTTCTTCTGAACGATTTCGTATATAAACGTTTAGTAATCATTTTTACGACAACGAATGGGAGTTTTTTTTATTATCAACTGACTAACGCATTTAAGTTAATGAAAATATTTTTTTATATTTTTATGCACGCTTGTGTACAACGTCGTTCTAAAACAAGTACAGACAAAAAAGATGTCACAAAGATGTTTTTGCACAGCATACTGGCGTTTCCATGAGTTTTACCCATAAACATATATCATATTGAGGCAAACCATTTTAAATATGAACTATTATGGCAGAATATGCAAGAAAAAAAAAATATCTGAAATATGTTTGCGGTTCAGATCGGAATATCCGTCCCTCGGGAACACGCCCATGGGCGGTAACTCGGAAAGCCTCGTTACCACCAATGGGCGGGGTCCCCTCGGGCGGATATTCCGGTCCGAACCGCAAACATATGACAGATATTATTAATATTACACTTGTGTAAATATTAAAAGGATATTTTATAAGTGTTGGTTCAATACTGGATTTATTGAACGATTTGAATATTACATGTATTTTATTCAAAAACATTGCAGTTCAATAACTTCAGTGATGAAGCTACACGGATATACATGTATTATTATCACATACACACGCTCTAAGAGCTGCTTACAGAAGAATCATATTGACGCGCTTTTAAAGAAACGCAAACATTAAGGCTATGTTTGTATTACGCAAATAACGACAAAATATATGCACGGCCGTTCAATTACGATTTTACAGAGTTGCATTAGAGTTAAAAGACTTACTTTGTTGTTATATTACTACAAACCAAGTAACGTCATGTGTTGAGAACGGATACTAAAACAACCAGACTTTACAAAACATTTACACTTTAGGTCCTGGACCGATGATTAGAATTTGCACAGATTCGGAGTTTAGATGCCCGGATGGAACTTGTATTCCAGGAAGTGCAGTTTGTGACGGAAAAAATGATTGTCCGTGCGGACTAGCAGATGAAAGTTCTTGTGGTAAAATTATATGTTTATATAAATGTATAATTGTTTTCAGCATTCACATTAGTTAATTGTAAACACAAATACTATTACCCGTTCAACTGAAAAATAGCCGTGATGTGTTCTCTTATTTAAAATGTTTTACTTTGCTAGTGAAGCTTTATTCAATAGAAAATTACATACACGTCTCTGAATTTTCTCATATGTATATTTGCTTCTTATGCCCAATTGCACAACTTCTTTTACATTTTGGGATTTCTTTTTCATTAAGTGGATACAGTCAAGCTAGTGCAATATGCAGTATTGATATTTAGATGTATAACCACACTTTTGTTTACTTTTGAAGGTTGCGACCTGGCTGGTACAGAATTTATCACAGGCTTTCTACACAATGTGGGACCGGAAGTATCTATTTTGTACATAATGGCACCGGAAGTTGCTAATGTCACGGTGACTATACCATTTTTGTCCTACAAAGAATCATTGTTAATACAGGGTGCATATAAATGGAAGTTTGAAGATACGACCCTGGTAATGGCTGAAGAGCACTCGAGAAAAGGCGTGCACATAAAATCAGACACGCCCATTACGGTTATTGCCGTAAATAGCCGAGAACTGTCATATACGACTGTCGACGGTACTATAGTGTATCCGTTAAATTGTTTATCTTCTGAATATCTAGTTGAGGTACAGAGCCATCGAACTTACAAGACCAGTCAGTACGCTATTATTGGCACACAAAACACAACGACCAACGTCACAATCACCAACAAAAGAGGGAGGGTATTTTACAAGCAGTTGGGCTATTTAGAGTCCTACTTTTTACAGGAAAAGGATCTTAGGGGGACATCGATATCAGCTACAGACAATGTTGTCGTGATTTCTGGCTCAGAATGCGGTTATGTTCCATCCGGAATGACAGCCTCTTGTGATCATCTTGTTAATCAAGTCCCGCCAAGATCAATGTTTGGCCACGCCTACATTGTTGCCCAACAGAATCCAAGGAAAGGGTTTTCATACCGAATTAAAGCTGCTGAAGACAATACTGTGGTAACCGTTCGAAATGTAAATGGTGAACTGGTAGCAAATGAAACTCTTGATGTTTTAACTGAATTTTTCAAAATGGAACTAGATTCACAACCACTTTCTATCACAGCAAATAAAGGCATCATGGTCACTCAATACGCCCTGGACGCTGTAATCGATGACCTTGGTCTAGGTGATCCATCAATGGTAACACTTCCTGCGCTGACTTCATTCGCCTCTAGCTACAGCTTTGTTATTCCGGACTACTTTTTAAGAATCGGCGTCACAATCTACATCAATGCATGCCATGACCCATACGGACTACATCTGGATGGAAAAGAACTTTCTAATACTATAGTGACACTAGTTACAATTCCGAATTACGGAGATTATAACGTCATCAAATTTGACTTAGAATCTAAATGGACGACATACAGCTCAGCGTTATTAAGTCATACAGAACGAGATATCACTTTTGGCGCGATAATGTACGGTATTCGAATAGAAGGCGCTTTTGCTTGGCGATTAGGCGGGAAACTGTAGATAATTTTGATCATCTAGTTAATTTTGTTAATTCAATATTAAAGGCCATTTCTAAACAGTATCTTGTGCCCAAAGATAATGAAAAATTATCTGGTTCTTCTTATCTTATATCGTGCTAAATTACATGACAAAAAAATACATATAATTATGTAATAAACATCTTAAAATAAAATCGTAACGTGTTACAACGGTAATACATGGAATATAATGTGGAAATACCATATGACTTATCGATTGTCGTCTGCAAAATTTCAAGATGTACTCAAATGAACGCACAATCTGATTTAAATCAGTTTCGACGTACCAATTCATAAAACCTGGACGTTTTTTTATTTTGTAAAAAGGGTGAACACGAGTTTTATAAAGTTTATGTAATACGTTTAGAGCAATGTAGATGTGTCATAAAGTAGCACAATGTTAACAGAGTAGTATTTTAACAAAACACATAGTGATGCTATTTTTACTTGTTGTCAAAAAACAACAAGCAAATGATGGTTGAGGTAATTGGTCAATGAGTCACTTTTGGAAACTTTAACATGGCATTTAAAATATAAGGCTTTTGAAATAGATAAAAATAAATGCATTTCTTGGGCATAATGGGCCTTTAATTTTTAATATATTAGTAGTGTCACATACTATATTACCTTGCATTGATTTAAATTAATCCAAATACGGTTACTCTACAGTTTGTCTCGACTTAAGTCACGTGGTAATGTCATATTTAAAAGATTCGAAGCAAAATTGTTTACTTAAAAATTTCAACTATGGTTAGCAAAAAGTTATCGTGTTCTTGTATGTTTTGTTTTCATTTTTAACGTTAACCTTCCAACTTTAGATCGTTGATTATTATTTAATTAACACAACAAATTTTATCATATCATGAAAAAGGAGAATAAAGTTTGAAAAAATTCAATTATTGAATGTCTTCATTTTATTTGTAAAGTAAGAAGTTTATTGTAAGTTTGCTGATATACAAACAAACACGTTTAGTACAATTATATGCCACAGTACTTGTATTAAAATTAATGTGGAAACTTGAATACTTGGCCATCGGGAAATTGAATTGGGAATTTGAATCTGATAATATGATTGGTTAAGTCGTGGGGACGTTTATGGTTATTTTTAACTAAGTGATTTTAGTGGTCGGCACTATTTAATTAGTTTCAAAGATAGACTTTCACATTGTTCAATATCTAACGTGTCGTCTGTGATTCAAAAATGTTTAGCACTTCAAATTCAGACCCAAATTAATCATCTTTTTTATCAGAGTGTCGTTAAAGATAAAAATAAGAAAATAAAAATGTATACGTAACACCATATCATAAGCAAACAAGAAAGCTTCCTTCTAAAATCTTTTCACACGAATGTAAGATTAACCATATAAACCGAAACTTTAACATATAGAAACAAGAAGTAAATTTGAAATAGATACATCGCCGAGGAAAACCTGGTTGACTTGCATCTATATAGACCTTTTTGAAATAGAAAAAAAAGAAAGAAAAAAACCAAACAAACTTGGCAATCTGAATTAAACTACGCTACGCATTACCCCCATCATCAGGAAGGAGTTTATTCACGAAAAGAATCGAATCGAATACCCGACTGAACGGCGATTCCTTGCACATTGGAATGCTAATAATTGTCCTAATTTAAATATTTCTACGCTTAAACATGCATGTAATTCCGTATTTTCAGAAAATGAATATTAAATCTATTCAATCTTGCATTTATAACGCGTAAAATGGGCCACAGTCAAAATGTTCGGATTTTAATCTTTTTTTCCCCATTTACAAAGGGCTCTTAAGTTTACCCTTATCATTTTGACCTGCTAACGCATCTTAATATGTAACAATAAATGAATTTTTAGCTAATACCAGATCACCTCATGTTTTAAACTGTTCTAATATATTGCACAATTTGGCATGTATTGGCAAGCTATTTATAGGCACGTGTTGTGACGCATGTTATAAATGAATAAATACTTATTAAACAAACATACATTCAAAATCTGTATATGCAGCGAAATACCTTTTTATACAATAGCTAAAATCTCCGTTTCATTGCAAGCCGTAATTAATTAGTTAGTTAATTAATTAGTTAATTAATTTTTATTTTTTATTTATTTCATTTTCGCTTTTTCCCATTCTTGTTGTGTCCGAAAATTGCGTAGGACTGCATTTCATGAGTGTAACTCTAATTTTTGTAACAGTGTAATATTTTCAGTCAATTGGTGAATTTAGATAACACACTTTGCGAACTTTAGCTCCTCAATAATACTAAGCAAGATAAAAATAATCGAAAATCCCAGACCGGTGTGACATGTCTATGCTTGTGTGCTTGCGTGCACGATGAACATGTGGACAGCTAAGAGGTTCCTTGTTTGGGAGGACGACTTCGACAATTTAATATTATATTAATTGCTTTTTATAAAGAAGACATTGATGATATAACATAAGAAATTATGATATACCTACGCATTTTCAGAAAATGAATATCGAAATTGTGTAAATAGCGGACATTTATCGTAAGATTAAATAGCTGCATAAAAACAAAAGGTTACAGTTTTATTTTTTATGGGCTCTTAACATTGCCCTTTATCAGTCTGACCTTGCAAAAACTTGAAGAAATAACCGACTAGGAGAGACCCTCAAGATGGAAGAAGGGACACAAAACTGATAATTAATCTGTTTGGATTTCTTGATTATAGAATTAATTATTCAAAATTAAATATTTGGATTGCTTGATTATGAATACCCCTTCGAATTCCACAGTTAAAATGTTAAATTGAAGTTATATGAAGCATAAAATTGTGCTATTTCAAAAGATTGAGGTATGGATCTCAGGGCTTTCAGTCCAAAATTATGACCAATGCTAGATCCGCAAATACAACAACAAATTTATTATAGAAATGAAATGAAACACGAATTTAAAAATCTATCATGCTAAGCTTTGACCTCGAAGTTTGACCTTGACCTTAGAGGTAGGGGTGCAAGTGTTGTGCATGACATATCGTCTTATTATTTTAACCATTTGTGCCAAGTATTTTCAAAATCCCTTAAACTATGAAGAAGTTCTAGATCGGACACAAAATATACCCTATAACAGACTGTTAATCTTTGACCTCTAAGTGTGACCTTGGATGTAGGGACCCATGTTTTTTGCCTGACATATCGTCTTACTACTGTGATTATTTGTGCCATGTATTTTTAAAATCCCTTGATCTATGAAGAGTTATGGGCCGGACACAAAATAAACCTTATAACAGACTCTGTTAACCTTTGACCTCTTAGTGTGACATTGACCTTGAGGTAGGGGACAGGTGTTGTACTTGACATATTGTCTTATTATTGTGACTATTTGTGCCAAGTTATTTCAAAATCCTTTGAACTAATAAGAAGTTATAGATCGGACAGAAAATGTACCCTGTACCGTGACCAGTTGTTGCGCATGGCACATCGTCTCATTATTGTGAACAATTGTGGCAAGTATTTACAAAATCCTTCAAAATTAAGAAAGATATGGACCGGACACGACATATACCCTCAAATAGACAATGTTGACCTTGAATGAGCAAGTGCGCCCTTGACCCTGGAGGTAGGGGTTTAGTTGTTGCGTATGACACATTGTCTTATTATAACAAACATTTGTGCCAAGTGATTTCAAATTCCTTTGATAAATTACAAAGTTATGGACCGGACAGGAAAATGTGACGGACGGGAAGACGGAAGTTCCAACAGGAGAGTTAAAATGTGGCTACTCTATTGTTCTCTCTATTGCTTTTTGTTTGCCAAACAAAAGAAAAAATAGCCACATAAAAGCTTTACGGAATGAATGACATAAAAGGGAAAGAACATTACCTATTGTCCCTCTAGTCACATAATTACTGTCCTGTGAGTGCGGACGGACAGACAGACGGACGGTGCCTATTTCTATATCCCCCTTTTTTTCTTCGAAATGGCGGGGAACAAAAAATAGTAGCTTAAGTGGACAACTGAAAATGCTGCAGAATCCGTTAGCGTTAGTCTGTTCATTGACAGTATTGAAAAAAGCAAGATCCTTTGTACGTGTACCAGCTAAAGCAGAATTCTCGTTTACGTTGTGTATCTTTCCTTCGCCAATAGTTTTGTTATTTTAATATTGGCCCCCTTACCCAACCATCAAGTTGTCCCCTACCCCTACACCCCTTAACTTTTATAGGCTTATTGATTAATCTTTCTCTTTAATTTCCTTGTCGATTTCTATTATGTCCTAGTATTGATATTATCAAAACTGAAAATGGAAACTTTTAGAATAGAATATTTTACAGGACAATACAGTTTATAAGCAGCCAGCCACATAGGATCAACTTAAAATTAAAAATGCGATAGACCCGAGCAGGACACAAAGAACGGAGCATTCTTTTTTTCATATCAAAGGATATTTTTAAGTGTTATGGAGTGTTTCTTTATTAGCTCACCAAAGGTTCAGGGTGACCTATTTGTATCAAAGGGGGATGCTCCGGCGTCCGTCGTCATGCGTCAACAATCGTCTTTTTCTCTGAAACTGACGGTCAGATTGACTTCAAATTTTGTAAGTAGCATCCTTGTTACAGTCACATTTGAATTTGCACGTGTCATTTCAATTGGCCCCTTTTAAGGGGTCAACAGAGCTAAAAATAGAAAAACCTTTAAACATCTACTCCTACAGAACTTATTGATGGATGATCACCAAACTTTGCCTGTAGCATTCTTGGGTAGTCTTTAATCAAGTTTGCTCATATACATGTGATAAGCCCTTTTTAGGGGACACCAAACCAAAAATAGAAAAACCCTTGAACATCATTTCCTACTGAAATAATTGATAGATTATCACCAACATTTGTAGCATTCTTAGGTTGCCTTTTATCAAGTTTGCTCATATTTATTTGAATGTCCCCGTTTAAGCTAAAGATTAATACCCAGGTCATGGCATTTCTTCAAATTATTGTTTATACGAGTACATATTCTATGCTCAAATTTAATATTAGAAAATATTGACTATGGATAATTTCCAACACTGAAAAGCAGTTTTTTTCTGGTGAGCGACTCGGGGCCATCATGGCCCTCTTGTCAATAATTTTCCATGTTCTGCTTCAGAAATCTTTAATCTACCAAAAAGATTGTTATTTTTGACCTACACATAAATCAACGTTTTTTCTTTTTTCAATTATTGGTTTCGGTTTAAAAAATCTTCTGCAAAGGGAAATTTCCTAGTATACGGACTACTTTCGGTACGATCTCGACCGGCAACTTAAAGTCATAAAAGTATTTAAAGATACTCGTATTAAGTGGCAGTAATTTATATGCGCGTCTTTTTTTTATTTGATATCCGTTCACGCTAACAAATAATTAAAGTGAATACCAGTAATAAATGATTCCTGGTCGCTGGTGCTGTTGCCCGGTCGTTTGCGGGTTGCGTTCATTTAACGCCACCTTTCCTTCTTAATCTTGTTTATCATATATGAAGCATTCAAATAATTACTTAATTATGTTAACTTATAAATTTAATATTGATTTATTATGAAAATGATTTTATAACGTTTATGGCTTTTTCGTACAATAAGTTTTTTTATGAAACAAACAAAATAAAGAGTGAGCCCACAAATTATGAAAATAAAATTCGCCAAGGAAGGGCGGCAATCGATGAACGCGTCCCCCAACAGAACACATTAACACATGACGACCTGCAAGGATACCAGCAGGACACAAATCGAACACACAAGGGAACACAAGGGCAAATGTCAGCATAAGATTACGCTATGTCGCCTGTAGCATTTCAGAGATCAGGTAACTATGTCATGGCAATTCCTAAATAACGTCCAAATCGACAAAATTGGAAAATTTGGAATAATTGGCATTCTCGATTGATTGAGTCTGTTTGTAACGATAGTGGTAATTGCAAGCTACCGTCCACGCGCGCTAGCACCGACTTAAGCAGAATTTAACATTTCAACATCATGCGATTTGAATTTAGAAACGTCAGCAGATTTTTTCATACGGCGGTTATCATGGAATTTTCAATGTTGCACGTTAGTTATATTCCATGAAAAGCTGTGTATGGTCCCTAAATAGAAGAATGCGTTTGCCCTAAAAGAGAAAACAAAAGACGAAACTAAATAAAAGGGGAATTTTGAAAGGGAGATCACAGATTATGAAGCCTGGGCGTCCAAAGATAAATTACACACAACAATAATGTCGTGCTATACGATTTTCAAGAATCAAAAATAAAACATCTTTGATTATATATATGTATAGGGCGACTTTTAATGACCTCAATACGGCAACTTGTGACAAAAAATGAGACAAACCGAGGTTGATAATATTTACTTTGTCATATTATTTTCATCATTTTTTTCATTGTAGCCCCACTCTAGTCGGCGTTCGTTAACCTTTCATTAAGATTCATTTTCTCAGAAATAATAACAGCTATTTGCTTCGTAGGGAAGCATACACTAAGAGGGCAGATGATAAAATATTGCAAATAGCAAACCAATATTTTTGAACGTTACAGAATAGTGAAAAACGGAATTCCTAAAGAACTCACAAAACGACAAAATTGCAGACTCGGTTTGATTTAGCCTGTTCATGGACGGTAATGGAAAGTAAACATTAGTCAACATATAAACCCAAAAGTGGTAAAAGTTTGAATTTATAAACATCCACAGATGTGTAACCTTCACTTTTCTCTACCACCCATGAGCATGCCCAAAACGAGTCTGCAACAGTTTAAATAATTACTCCGTCTAATGTAATGTGTCAATTGAAAGAATTTCACTTGGAGGGGATTCATTATATACACCCTGTCTTGTCATATTGGTACAATTTGGGAGTGAGTGAGATTTGGTGTGCCTGAACACGCCACATATTGTGAACTTCCACCCCATCCACTATTTTCCTTCCACCTCTGGAAAGTGTCAATTTAATTCCTGTTTCAACCTTTTTAAACATATTATCATTTTTGTTATTAAACTGATTATTGTAATATTTTTTACATGTCCTCTGCCTCCTATCCCTGCCCTTATGATCTCTCCTAATTTTGTTTCGGTGCCTTCTGTTTGACTTGACATTGTTGTTTTGCGTTCATTAAACGCCGCCTTTCCCTGTTGATCTTGTTTTTCATATTTAAGCTGTGTCTGGGCTGTGTTCTGTGAACGTCGCCTAGCCTAGATACTCATTGTTCTCATTTTCCCCCTTATTTATGTTGATTATAGTTTATTGTTATTACCAGGTAAATTCTATATGTGTCCACATGTAACAGTAAGTTGTGAGACTGCGCCCTTTTGTCGTCCGGTTAGTTCAATAGATAGAGCGTTGGACTGTAAATTGGGCGATCCGGGTTGATTACCAAACGGTTCAGGTCACTTGTTGTGATTGATTTTGAAATCCTTTCTACGGTCATCCGCACTGTACACCTGCTTTGTCATGTAAAGACGTTATCAGTTCCTTGCAAAAGTGAAGGCAACTGGTACTGGTAAACTACAGCCTGCACAGGAATAATGCGGTTGCTGAACTGGGCTCTAGTAAATTTAATGTGGCCGGCTGCTGTGATCCGGAGTGAAAACAACAACAACAAAAATACAACACCACTGTGCCCTTTTTATACATAATGAACAAAAACTTACTTATCGCGACTTATTTTACTGCTTACTTTTAACAAACCAAAAACAAAAAGCCTCCGTCACAATTATAAATCCAGGAAAAATGTGTATACACTTCACCTCGATGTTATTTTTTTGTTTATTGAAGCAGAGCATGCGCATAACAATTTATCTTGACTGGTTGTAATGAACAAATACACAAACACACGCACACACAAATTAAATATAGCTCAAATTTGCTATTCCTTTCATTATCTGTTTACATCAATATTGACATTAAGGGGTGTCGACAATTTACAAATGTAATATATACTTTTTAAATCTTTTTACAATCTGGACCATTGCTCATTAATGCTCATTCAGTATTCCACAGCGTAATAGAGAGGTAGAGTTTTCTCTTTCGAAGAGTAGAGATTCTGGTTTGAATCCTGGAAAAGTTTTTTTCTTGTCATATGACTTATACTGTGTTGATGAGCCGTAAAACCAAACAAACAAGTAAGTACAGTGGCGTAGAATTACCTAAGTACCGTGAGGCCAGATGGTAGAATTATGAAGCTTATTGTATTTAGCTGTTCGGGCCTATCAAACTTGATCCAACCCCGTCCCAGCAAACACACCTACTTAAAGAATGCAAACTAAAATACATGATTTTTTTTATATTGCTTCCCATATATATACTTCTCATTTCCATTAGTTATTTCAAGTACTTTGATGAAACATGGTGCAATTTCAGCATAATTTATGAATGTTTGATACATGTCTTGCCTTATTTGCATTTCAGTATTGATTGGTCCTTTTTTGTCAAAAACATCTAAGTGAAACATTTCAAAAAATTGCATTACTTTTGATTTATCTATATTTGAATTAAACTAATAAATCATTTTAAGGGTTTAATAGCGCCTCTAACTCATATGATATCTTTGTGTTTTTAACTTCACTGGATGCCTTTTTCGAAAGTGGTTTTAAATTAATCTTGCGACCATGGCAATAATTTAGTTCGGTTGTTTGTTGAGGAACGCCGCGATTCATTACTACGCGTCCTAAGTATAAAACACTCTTTAACTTGATCACAAAGCACAAGGAAAAAACAACATGATTTATATCATTAATTTGAAAAATAATGCAATAATGTCCATTTTAAAAAGAAATCCTCCACCATTTATTTATATATTCTAAAACAGTACTTGCTAAACTGCTCTGTAAGTCCAAATTTAAAACAATATTTTATCCATGCAAAATTAAAGTGAAATATGAAAATACTTTTTCAACAAACATGTGTACTCTGATATAAATTGATTGATATTTTGATTGATAGGAATATTAATCCGATTGTTTCATTAATTAATTGACCCAATTGCTAAATAAATTAATTGTTGTTGATATAATTGAGGGATTAAATAACTGATTGCTTGATTGATCTATTTATTGATTGGTGAATTGATTGATTGATTGTTTAATTAATTAATAAATTGAATTATTGACTGATTGATGAATTGTTTGGTTGATGGATTGAGTGTTTATAAATCTTTGTATAATTCATGTTCATGTTAATGTTAATGTCAGATTTAGAAAATTATAAAAATAAGCTACTACAGACAGAGATAATCGTTTCTTTTTCGGTATCCTACAATGACATGAAAATTCCCGCTTTAAAATATACAGCTTCGTGTCGAAATAATCTAAGCGGGCATTTAACCGCCAACTTCAAAAAAGTAGTGCGACAAGATTGACATCAAGGTTTGGTTCAGTTGAGGTCTGGGCAGCGTTGAAGAAAGGTTTCAACAACGAGTAATTTATCATTTCATTATGAACAGCGCAAATACATTGTTGTTTGGCATTTTGATTTTTCTTGTGACTGGTGAGTACTTGTAATATACATTAAATTTATAATATGATTGATATTGATTTGATAAATATATAAAAGTTATTCATCGTTAATAATTTGACAATGTTTCTAAATTTCAAGACACAAAAAAGACAACGTTTATCTTTGTTAAACAGTTCAAACATAATTGATTTCCAGTATGGTGTTTATTCCACTTCTATTGATGCAATTACTTGCCGAAATATTTGGTTAAACGATTTATTAAATAGTTTGATTTGATTGATATTTGAATATCTATGATATTACGTATCGTCACTGCTGCCCTCTGTCGTCGTCTGCACATTGTATTTAATGACTCATTTTTTTTAAAGTAATAATTTCAATAATCCTGGCACCTCCATAAGCAGAATGTTAAACCATTTCTTCTCTTCTGCCAAGGAATACAATTTTAGTAAAAAAAACACTTTTATTTATTTATATTTTTAGCGGGGAAGGAGTAATTTTATTTTATTTGTCTAATTTTATTTAATTATTTATTCGCTCACCAGAACGGAAGGTTCAGGGTGAGCTATTATTATCAAAGGGGGTTACTCCGGCGTCCGTCGTCATGGTTCAACAATCATCTTCTCCTCTGAAACTGATTGGCAGATTTACCTCAAATTTGGTCTGTAGCATCCTTGTGACAGTCACACTTAAATTTTATCATGTCATTTCAATTGGCTCCTTTTAGGAGTCAATAAAGCTAACAAAAGAAAAACCTTTAAACAGCGCCTCATACTAAATTAAATGATGGATGATCACCAAAATTTGTTTGAAGCATTCTTAGGGTGTCTTGATGTTTCCTTCTACAGAAGAAGTTGATGGATAATCACCAAATTTTGTCGTAGCATTCTTAGGTAGTGTTTTATCAAGTGTGCTCATATTAATTTGATTGACCACTTAAAGGGGCCGCTAAAGCTAAACATGGAAATACCTTTAAACGTGTGCTTCTGCAGAACTAATTGATGGATGATTACCACTCACATTTGATATTAGAAAATATTGAAAATTGATACACAGTCTCTTTATAAATATAAAATAAACGTGTTTTGACTTCACGCAAAGTTGATATGTTATGTTTTAAACTCTTCATACTATATGTGGTCATAGTATGAGTTTATAGTTTCATTAAAAAAAACTGGCTTGTTAGAAAAAAACCTACTTTACTTTGCCTATAATTGGGAATGCAGCTTCCCATACATAGTTTAGTCATTATTTTATCCAAATTAGACATATTCAATAAGAATTTCATAGATTTCAATAAATTTCTATGATAAAAATGTTTTAATCTAGGTTGAGCATATTATATCGAAGTGTGTACCTGTTATGCAATTTTTCCAAAGTCAAAGACAAAGTCTTAATGTTATGACATGTTTGCTTAAGAAATGATTTGAAGTCATGTGCTTTGTATCTGAACAGTAAATATATCTGTACTTTGTCGTTCATTTGACATGCTAGAATAGAATCTGAGGCAAAGTTCAATTGACTGTATAGAAAAACAATTTATTTCAGGTGTTTCTGGATATACTGTTGAACCTGAAGTTTCATGTGAAAAATTGAATTTTAGTTTCAGTTGAGCTGTTATGGATTTTTTTGAAACCATTTTACCGACTTTTGTTGTTGTTGCTTTTTTTTTTTTTTTTTTTTTTTGATGTACAGATTTTTTTTGATGTACATTTGAAATTTGGAGCAGGGCGCGTATTGAATTAAAAAAACTGTTGTCCCAAACTGTTAACTTCAAACATCTACACCTTACATATTTTGCATGTGAAAGTTTGTGTATTCATCCCATAAGTTAAACAAAAATGGCCCATCAAAATTAACCCTGCTCTAGTGGTCATTTATTCTGCATTTATTCTACATAGTCTCATAGGTACACACTTGCAACATAGATATTTTGCACAAAGCCTTTCCAAGATATTAGGGCAAAATATTTCAATCTATATAGTGAATAATGAAATGATGGGTTAGATGAGTGATCTAGTGCCACCTTAGTGGCCCTATTGTTTAGTATGAAGAAAAACCAACATTAAGACAATCAGTGTTGTGAAAGTATATTACTAGAGGGGTGTCACAGGGTGAGAAAAATGTGCAGCCTGACCGAGACTCGAACCCGGGACCCTCGGTATACCGTACCGCGGCTCTACCGACTGAGCTATCCGGCCGCTTACACATCATCTCCCTAAATAGTAAACAGTTCTGAACCGTGACAGGGGCAAGTTAAAGTTGAGCTGAACTTGCCGAAAGAGTTGGACTTGCCTTTCATCAAGTTCATTCCACCACTGAAAAGCAGTTGTTTCTGGTGAGCGACACAGTGTCATTATGGCCCTCTTGTTTATTGTTGTGTATGTTCGTTAGAAAATGTTTCATTATTTTCCCGGGAGTAAACCATGTGCTGTGCTTAATATTTGAAAATATGATGAATATTAAAACCAAATTAGAACTGAAACATACTGCTCGCTTTAAATTACATACTTGTTAAGATGGAGGTATGTTAAAAATTTCATTCCGTTAAATTATGTATTTAAAGGTTGTTCATTATCCCCCACCGAAAGGCGGCGGGGGTTTTAGAAAAAGTCTTCGCCGTCCGTCCTTCCGTCCGTCCATCCGTCCTTCCGTCCGACATTTTAGTCTGGAGCATATCTCAAAAAGTATTTGAGGTATTAACTTACATGGATAGATCTCATTTAGGAAGAGTGTAGTGCACAAGAATGATAACTCTACCTTGCATAACATTTGAGTTATCGTCCTTTGTTATTTTTCAAAATTATTTTTTTTGTCCAGAGCATAACTCAAAAAGCCTTTAAGATATCAACATGAAACTTCATAGGTGGATAGATCTCACTTAGGAGGTATGCATTGTACAAGAACGATAACTCTAACTTTCATAATATTTGAGTTATAACTCTTTGTTATTTTTCATACTTAATTTTTCACCTGAGTGGAGCATCACTCAAAAAGGCTTTGAGATGTCAACATGAAACTTCATAGGTGGATAGATCTTATCGAGGATAAATGCTTCGTGCAAAAATGATAATTCTTCCCTATATAATTTTTGAGTAATTGCCCTTTGTTCTTTTTCATACCCATTTTGTCCGGAGATTATATCAAAATATGTAAGAGGGATCAACTTGAAACTTCATAGGTGGATAGATCTCATTGAAGAGGAGTGCAGCGCACAAGAAGGATAACCTGACATGCATTATTTTTCAGTAACTGTCCTTTGCTCAATTTATTCCAGAGCATAACTTAAAAATCCTTTGAGATATCAACATGAAACTTCATAGGTGGATGAATTTCACTCAGAAGGTGTGCAGTGCACAAGAATGTTAACTCTACCCTTCCATATTTTTTTAGTTATTGCCCTTTGTAATTTTTCATACTTATTTTATTCCTGAGCGGAAAAAAATAACTCAAAAAATCTTTGAGATGTCTATTGCCCTTGGTTAATTTCCATGTTTATTTTTTGTCCAGACAGTAACTCATTAAGTATTTACTATAAAAGGTATGCACTTGAAACTCAAAATATAACTAAGTCTCTGTCCGTTCGTCTGTCCTTCCATCCATTCGTCTGTCCGTCCTTCCGTCTGACATTTTTGTCTGGAGCATATCTCAAAAAGTATTTAAGGTATCAACTTTAAACTTCCTAGGTGGATAGATCATATTGAGGAGGAGTGCAGTGCACATAAATGATATCCTTACCCTTTATAATTTTTCGGTTATTGCCTTTTGTTATTTTTCAACTTAAATTTTGTCCAGATCGTAACTAAAAACGCCTTTGAGATATCAATATGAAACGTGGATATATCTAGCTCATACTTAATTTTTCACCTGAGTGGAGCATAACTCAAAAAGTGTTTGAGATGTCAACATGAAACTTCATACGTGGATTAATCTTATTGAGGAGGAATGCTGTGCGCAAGAAGGATAACTCTACCCTTTATAATTTCTGAGTTATTGCCCATTGCTATTTTTCATACTTTTTGTCCAGAGATCATCTCAAAAGTGTAAGAGGTATCAACTTGAAACTTGAAACTTCTAGGTGGATTGAACTCATTGAGGCGGAGTGCAGCACACAAGAATGATAACCTACCCTGCATTATCTTTTAGTTATTGCCCTTTGTTATTTTCAGCATCGGAATTCACGTAGGTTTCAAATCTGTAATCACTTCAGCCATCAGTTTTCATTACCAAAATACCTCTTAGAATTGAATTATTTTGCTCTACTACATATACATTTTTCCAATGAGCAAACACATTCGGCGGGGGATGGCCATGGTGACATGGCTCTTGTTGTAATCGAAATAATTTGCTAGGTAAGATAAGATGCCTTTTGTCGCTTCCTAGTTTCCTAGATACGAGTTCGACATCACTATTTTTTTATTGCCATCAACCCCCTCCCCCAGTTCATATAACATTGATAAACTCTTGCACGGTGTTATAACTAAGCATTGCTATAATAACTGAATTAATTTTTTTTTACCCAAAATTAACCTTTGACGTTAAAAAAGCTTTATCACGACCAAGGATTTTTATGCCCTAGCCATAAAATGGCTTGGGCATATACTGTAACCCCGTCCGGCTATTCCGTCCTTCCGTTATCGTCAGTTTCCGTTCATTATCTTGGTAACGTTTCCGTTCATTTTCTTGGTAACAATTGCACACCTTCAACTAACTTTTGACGTATGAATGTATCATAAAAATGAAGAAAATGCAGGTAAAGTTCGAATTTGGTCATGGTCTGATTATTTTTGGCACAGTTATGCCCCTTTATGTCGTTTTCAGTTTCTGTTCATTATCTCCCCCAACAGTAGTACACATTCAACTCAATTTTGAGATATGGATACATCAAAGGAATGCGCAGGTCAAGTTCGAATTTGGTCATGGTTCAATTAATTTTGGCAGAGTTATGCCCCTTTCACTTTGAGAAAAATAAGAAATTTTCAGTTTCTGTTCATTTTCTCTCCAACGGTGGTACATATTCGGATCAATTT